AAAAAAATTTAAAATAAATAAAAAATTCTTTCAGAAATAGACTGGATCATGTGACATTATTTTAAAAAATCTTTATTTTGATCTGATTTTAGACTTCAGACATTGCAAAAATAGTACAATTTCCATATATTCCTTTCCACCTTCCCCTAATGTTCACAACTTACATAACCATAGCACAGTTGTCAGAGCCAAGAAATGAACAGCGGTACAGTACTATTAACTAATGATCTTACCCAGATTTCACCCGTTTTCCATGCATGCCCTTCTTTCTGTTCCATGATCCTATCCAGCAACACACATTGCATTTAGTTCTATCTCTTTAGATTTCTGCAGTATGAAATAGTTCGTCTTCTCTTGTCTTTCATGACCATGACAGTTTCTGCATTGAGCAGTTAATTTGGTCCACTGTCTCTCGATTCGGGTCTGTCTGGTGTTTACTCATGATTGCATTTTTGACAAGAATACAACACTGTATCATGTTCATGATGTCAGTATGTCTTATTTCTGTTCACGTTGGCTGGGATCACTTGGTTATGGTGGCTTTTTCCTGCTTTCTGTACTTTAAAGTTACTGTCTTTCCCTTGATGCTTAATTATATTTTGGAAAAGGTACTTTGAGACTATGTAAAGATATAAATATCCTGTTTCAGTTTAAACTTTTGCTTGCTAATTGTAGCATCCATTGACATTTTGCCTGAAACAAGAATGAGGTATTTCCCAAAAGCTGGGGTTTTTTTTTTTTCTCTTTTCATCATTCCTTCCCATGTATTTATTGGAATTCTGTAAGGACCGGCTTTGTTCTGCCCCATTTATTTATTTAATCAATTATTTATGTCATACAGGCTCATGGATATGTATTCTATGGGTTACAATCCCATACTATCATTATTTACTGCTCAAATTGCTCCGCTCTGGTAATTAAGAACTCCTCCAGGTTGGCGTCTGTGTTCTTTCAACAAGCTCCCGTCTTTTTTTTAAACCATTTCTTTACTTTTTGGTGCTACACTGTGTTTCAGGCTCACTTTGTATTTTCTCTGCCCCGGCTCTAGAATCAACCACTTCTCCAGTGAGCCCTGGTTCCTTTTATTGAAGAAAGGTATTTAGAAACCCAAGATCTGGGCAGTAGGTGTGCTCACTCCCTCTGTGGTTCTACTGCTCCTAGGCCCTCTCAGTGGACAGAGCTAGGGAATATATGAATGTTTACTAACCCACATATACACACGTATCTTTATTTTTGTACCCATCACTCTCATTTGTATTAAAAAGACCCTGAGATTATCCAGACATTTTGGATTCTGGTTGGACTAGACTGGGCTGCACATTATAGGGTTGATTTTCCCCTCCTTCTTTCCTTCTTTGAAAATTCTTTCTCCAGGAGGGAGAAGCCTGGTTTTTATTATCTGTAATGTACTTACTTATTTTAGTGTGCACATAATGTACCCATAAAGTGGTTTCAAATTGTTAACTCAGATCCCCGTGAGAAACGTATTTACTGATGGATTTATATAAAGATCCTTTTGCGTCTAACCTTATAATTTGTGATATAGACACTATTTTCCAGACAGCTGTTTAGTTCAGTTCTCTCCCCACTCTCTTCAGTACTGTTATAATATGCATTCATAACAGAGTTAGGTTCTTTGTTAGCATTTGTATTCTTCCTACATCCTGGTTGATTTTAATTGTGTATATTTGGGGTATATGAAGGTTCCATGAATACGATGGTTCTGAGAGGTTCTGAGTCGAAATTTATGTGTTCACTGAAGTGTCACTCCCTCTTCAACACTACCACCTCATTCCCATTTCCCCCCTTTCTAGCCTTTTCCCACCCACCCCCCGTTGCTAACCTATCCCATTCATTTCTGGTTTCTTGTACTTTTTCCGCATATGTATTTTCTTAGATCCCCTTCTTTCTTACATGAATGGTAATATATTCTAGATAATCTTGCGCTTTGCTTATTACACGGAATAGTGGTACTAGAAGTTCTTCTTAAGATTCAATTAGTGGTTAGTAAATCCTAGCCATCTGGCTGTATTATCCATGAAAGCACTTATTTAGAGTAGTTAGCAATCCTCATAAACTCTCATTTACTAATTGAGAACGAATGTCATGCATACCATAAGTTAAGGTAAAAACTGAACTCAGATTTCTAAATTTATCCTCTAGAGCTTTTTTCCTTCTGGATTAGGCTTCAGAAAAAAACTATAAAGAGAAAGGAAATATTTGCGTTTTGTGGAATAGGTGGTTTGTGTCTGTGGATTTTCATCTCCTTAGAGAATCATAGAAGTTTTTTTTAGCAAAAGCATGTAGTACAATTCCCTTCAGTTTACAGATAAAGAAAAAAAGGCCCCTGACTGATAAAAGGTCCCAATATAAAAACAGTCAGAAGTAGTTTCATTATCTCCTCACTTTCAGATGCTATTTCTAGCATACCAGAATGCCTGGCCAATTTTTATTTTCATTAAACATTTTCAAACATACAAAGAAATTGAGCATAAAAGCCATCCCTCATACTCCATCACCCAGTTGCAACAGTTATTAATAACTGGATGTTGTCGGCCTGCACTGTTCATTATGAAGTACCCCCTTCAACCCCTCCAAATTTTCGTGGCGGTCACGGCCATAACCTGAATCCATTATTTCCTGAGAGGGTGAAGAGTGGCACTCTCACTCTAAAGTTCCCTCTCCATTTATTTTTATTTATTTATTTATTTATTTATTTATTTATTTATATTTGAGAGAGAGGGAGCATGAGTAAGGGCAGAGACAGAGGGAGAAGCAGGCTCTCCACTAATAGGGAACCTGACGTAGGACTCGATCCCAGGACCCCGGGATCGTGACCTGAGCCGAAGGCAGACGCTTAACTGACTGAGCCACCCAGATGCCCCATAAACTGTAGTTTTATAAATTGTTTTCCAATCCTGAATACAATTCAGTATTTCTAAATATTGATTTTTTTTAATCTAATATAATGGGCTTAGAAATATATCTAACCTTTTGAAATGTGCAACTGAAAAAAATCATTTTTCTAGCAACTCCCTTGTCTAAAGGGATTTTCTGTTTCAGGAATTCCATGAGTGAAACTGTCAGGCTGGTCAGTGGCATACAGCATCCTGGATCTGCAGGGGGAGTTTATGAGTCAACCCAGCACTTCAACGACATCAAAGAGCACCTTCACATCGTGAAGCGGGACATAGACAACTTAGTGCAGCGAAACATGGTAAGCTCTTGCCTTCTACTTTTATCATCATCAGTCTTCCTTAGAAAAGAAAGAACACATATTCTACTGAAAATATTATAACTTTTAACTTAATCCTAATGTTCATTTTTAATATTCAAGGTAGAATTATTCCATATGATCCAAATGTCTTTATGTTCCATGTTTCCATACCCTATTGAATAGAATTTTTTTTAAAGATTTTATTTGTTTGGGTGCCTGGGTGGCTCAGTCGTTAAGCATCTGCCTTCGGCTCAGGTCATG